ACGGGGAAGCCCTAGGAAATGGGATCTGGTCATATTTGACTACTAACGATTCAGGGTTATGCCATAAATCAGGGGTCCCCAAACTTTTTCCTGCGAGGGCCACATAGCTGTTCCTTTCTCTGGTCGGGGGCCGGTCTTAGTTTTTGGAGAAAGAAACCTTGGAAAATTCTTGGCGGGGGGGTGGGGGAGCGCTGCTTTTAGATAGATTTTTACCCAGAATGCAAATGGAAAAAACCGTGAGTGAAACGGTGACTGGGACTGACTAGTATATTTTCCATTGAGGGAAAGTAAGTTTCATATCTGCTCAAGAGCCCCCTGGTGGTTGAAGAAAAATCCACATATAAACCAGAAAATATAATATATGAAAAAAAACACTGAATGCTCTCTGGTATGAGCAGGCGGGCCGGATCCGGCATTGTTCAGGGGGCCGGACCAAATGACGTGGCGGGCCGCATCCGGCCCGCGGGCCGTAGTTTGGGGACCCCTGCTGTAGTGGAACATGCAGCCTGCTCCCAGCCAGAGTGGTGGGGCAGCATTGCTCTTAAAACGATGGTGTGTGCTGGAGGCGATGGTTGCCAGGTTTGTAGACAGAGACTTAGTTTGTAAAACTAAAAACTTTGTAAGGGCTAATGTCTAACATCTGGCACTTTGGTTCTCCTAATTGGAGGTGGAGCCCCACACTGTGGGTCATGAAACATGATATGAGGAAACCCACAGCAAAAGCAAAAGCAAATGTTGTGGTGCCCTGTCAAACAGCAAATCAAAAGTCCAAACTGATGTCAGTATGACATGAAAGTGCACCTAGTTCACTTTTATCTTTAATTAATCTTAAAAATGTTGCTATAAAATTGAATTGAATAGAGATTATTGTTATCCTATTGTGGAACTGCTCCCACTACTTTGGGAGCAGTTCCACAATAGGAACTGCTCCCAAAGTTCCTTGGTCAACAACCTTGACAAAGTTCCAAGGTCAACAACCTTGACCTTGTCCAGATCAAGGTTGTTGATCTGGACAACAACCAGATCAAAATAATATTCAAAGCTAATTTCCATGATGTGATTAAATATAATATTGGTTGTAGGTCTCATGTTTAGCTGAGCATTATGCCTTTATTTCTTTTTCTAAACAGCACTGCTCATGTATGTCCACTGTTCGTATTTGGGGCTAAAAGTTTCTGGAAATGTTTTTGTGGGGTTAGAAGCTATAACGTTTTGGAATCACCAATCTGTGCAGAGTTGTGCACTTTATGAACTAAAAGTGATGATAATTTTCCAGGGCGACTCTGGAGGTCCCCTGAACTGCTTAACCGATGGAGTTTGGAGAGTCCACGGTGTGGTCAGTTATGGTCCGGCCGGCGTGTGCAACCAAAAGTTCAAACCAACCGTCTTCACCAGAGTTTCTTCCTTCCTTCACTGGATGTATTCGGTAAACAACATGCATGAAGCCACCAGAATGAAATGATATTTACCCAAATTGATGAATGCCGGATCTATTTGACTTCTTTTTTTTTTTCAGGTGATGGATCAAGCTTTTTATATAGAAATGTGTGGACTTCTAACATCCATGTGGCATTAGTAAAATAAAAATCCTCTTATGTCTCAGTCTTTTACTTCAAATTCCTGAAAAACTCCAGTGTGTCATGTTTTCACCACACAGCACAACATTCCTCTTTGTGTTGCTGCAAGAGCCTTACACTCCTTTTACAGTCTCAGAAATGCATTCCTCATTGAACTTATTGCATGTCCTGTTGCTGTCTTTGGCTCACAACCAGAATGCTGTATAAATGTGCATTGGTCCAGGACCAACACGGTTATTATGATCCTGACCTCCTGACCTCCCAAGCTGCAGCCCGAGATGATGGAAAATTCCAAAGGATGTTTTTAAACCAAAGATCACAGGAAACCAGCGATTTTCACTTAAACGGCATGTAGGTGAAATGTTTTTTTTCTTGAGTTGTCAGGATCAAGGAAAGCTAAAAGATTTGTGCAATTTTCGCCTTGGATCCAAGCGATCCTAATTGTGACCAAATGTGAGCTAAAAGCAGTCACATACTCCCCCCGCCTGGAATTTCTGGCCATATGTTTGCGGTATTCTGGGAGACTACAGCATGACATCATATTGGGTGTTTTTCCCATTTTCTTCAGACATGGAGATCTTTAACAGCAGTTTTTAGGGTAATGTGTGAAAAATACAATTTTTTTAAGGAAGGTGAAATAAACTCTGAAAATGTTTAAAATGGCTTGTGCACAAAATGGCTTCTTGACCTCATAAACTATCTGCATTATTAACTTTTATAGGTCAGGTTGACGTCCGCAGTGAAACATGACATTTTACATCTGTTGCATATTAACTTAGTGTATGTGTTTTTTGCTTGCGGCCCCCTCGGGTATGTCTTTTTCAGCTTTGGACATCTAGAGACGGAAAGTTTTGCCCATCCTTTTTTGCAAAATAGCTCGGCCTCAGTCTCATTAGGTGTTAATGTCAGGTTTTTGTTTTTTTTTTACCACAGCTTTTCGACCATCCAGAAGAAGCTCTGGTTGTATGTTTGGGATTCCTCCCCAGCCATAAGTTTTTTGCAGCCTCTAAGAGGTTTCCTTTCGTTCTTATTTATACTGAGATTAATTTATTTAGGGGTATTAAAGTAGTGGGGACTTTTTTATAAATACACGCTTTTGTTGCTAACATGTATCCTCTCCTCACTTCTATTATGCACCACTTCTTGTTGATCTGTCTCAAATAATCAGAAAAGACATGTTGCAAAGTGAAAATATAAATAAAGTTAAAGAAGCTAAAATAAATGTATCCAACACATGACAAATCAGACAAACAGCTAGGCATTTACAAAAGAATGTTTTTTTTATTATCATTTGGAGGGACAAGCTGTCAAAATGGCTTAGATGAAAGGAAATTATTTTGAACAGCAGATTAATGTGTGAATATGTAAAAAATAAAGCAGCTTTGTTTGCTCTGCAGGACCTTTTCAAGCAGAAATATGCACAACACAAAAAGGCAAAGAAAAAGTAAGACACATTCTTTTGAAATAATAATAAACTGTACTGTAATATATTACACTGATAAACACTCACTGATGTCATTTCTTCATGATTGAATGTTTTTTTTGTTTGTTTTTTTTTACAAGAGAAATTATGTTTGCTGGCAAAGAATGGTGCCAATCTTTATGGCATACGAACATATACAGGATGAAATTATTTTAAAAAAAGAAAAAAAAAAGGCAAAAAGAGAATAATACATTTCCAATGTGCATTCTGCACTTTAAAAAAAAGAAATACAATTATTCAGAAGAAGTTTTAACAAATCGGACCTGCATGCATAATTTCTAAAGGGTCCAGAAAAGGCTGTTGAAACAGCCGTGGAAAGGGTGAGGATATGTACATCAGCTCTCTAGTGTCCCTCAGCTCAAAAAAAAAAAAAAAAGATACTCAATGAGGCAACTCTTCAAATTTCAGGGTTCAGGATTAAAAACTGTATAATATATGCAGTTTTTAATCCACTAAAATACAAAAAAAAAAAAAAAAAAAAAAAAAAAAAAAAAAAAACCTTCGCATTTGTGTAATTTCTAACATATTTTAACCCAAGTCACAGACTTCCAGAAATACTCAGAGTACAATCAAATAGATTTTTTTTTCTTTTGCAATTTAAGTTTTAGTGGCTTTTCTCTAAGATATCCAACCATTCGGCTGCCTATTAAAAATACTTCAGAATGTACTAACCTTCATAAGCATACATTTTCTCTATAATTCATATATTACAAAGGTCGTCTCGGATTGAAAATTATTAATTTTGCTTTCTTAATAAAATATTCAATTTGTCAGTGATTAGAATTCTTTCATCCTACATATATTAGAAAATATTAGTGTAATTTTTCTACGGTTATATTATAGGCAGCAATACAAATAGAACCATCATTTTCTTTATTTGTTTCAGTGATTAGGGAGATTCCACAGTTTTCAGTCCCAAAAGCTTAAACGGAAGCACTGCGCGCACACCACTGGTCGGCATGGCTCCCCCTGATAAACAGGCACATCCAGTAAACTTCACGACGGCCCACGTTATTGCCAAAATGTCTTTAAATTAAATAACTCATGAAATAAAAGACAGAATAACTTAAAACAAAGTGTTAAGAGAATAGATATTAAATACTTTCGGATGGACTTGTGGTCCCATCAGTGGCAGTTCTCGAATGAATGACGTTCTGTGCAAGCTCTTCTTTCTGCCAAGCGATCAAAAATACACAAATCCAGCCGGGGTTGGATCAAATGCACTGCAGTTCTTCATGAAGCACGTAAACTAGTCACCCTATAGACAGCAGGAAGAAGGGGGCACTCTCCCACGACTGCACACGCATGAAAGCAATATAAAACTTATTCAGGGCAGAAATGTAATATTTTCTAACAGTTTCTCGAGTGCTCCCCTTTGTAATGTCGCCCTGGGCAATTGCCTATATGAAACATCAAAAACCGCCACTGGGTTCCATTTTCCATAGCAATACCTTAATGTGATAATTAAAAAAAAAAAAAAAAAAAAAGGAGGAAGATTGCACTTTAAGGTAAACAAACCACAGTGCTTTGTGAATGGAGGCTTCATCTGAAATAAATAAAACCATAAAGGAAATAATTTAAAACAAAATAAAATACAGATAGCTTCTTCTTCTTTTTTTTTTTTTTAAGAATACGAGCAACAATCCCAGCCCATAAATAAGAAACTCCATAATTCATAATTTAGCATCAAACTGTTGAATCTATCCCAAATAACCAAAACAATGCCTATGCATACATAGTTATTTTCACAGATAAAGTGCGGATCGAGGAGCTCTGAGAGGGATTTGTTTTTTTCCTTGTACCTTAAAAAGACCTTTTTGGGATGAAGACCTCAGCTTTTCTTTGCTCAAGTCATCTTCAGAAAGGAGGGGGAAGGGTGAGAGGGGGAGGATGCAAACAGAACTACCGTACATCTCAATCTGACTCAGGTTTCGTATGAAGGCAATCACAGCAATGGTCACCACACATTGCCTCCAAAAGCTAGAAAAAAAAAAAATGAATTCCCTGAGGTGAACATTCAGCTGTGTTGAGATTAACGCCCAACCTGGAAACAGTTTTAAGGGTGATTCCTGCTCAGCGAGAGCGGTTGGTGGTCTTGGTTTGGTTAAAAGAGCTTTCTTAGGATTCTCTGGTTTCTGTTGGCCTGGTCAAATTGATCTCTGTCCACTTTTAACCCCTAGCTGCCATCTCACACAGCAATCACCCCAAACTGCTTTGCTAACATTTTGAAGGCAAGTCTGGAATCTGAATATTTAATAGGCAAAAAAAAAAAAAAGAGGGAAATCACAGCTTCCTCATAACACATTGACATCGTATGTGCATTTTTCAGTCCTCTTCCAAACTCCCACCCCCCAACCCCCTTCCCCTCTCTCTCTTGTGGGTTTTTCCTTTCTTACGTAGTTCACATGTTTTGTCAAACTTTCACAGACTCCATCACAGACAGTTTCATGGCTTCCTCCATCAGCTGATTGTCCGTAAACGTAGCAGGGGGCTCCGGGACGGATTCTGAGAGGCCGATCAGAGATTCCAGCAGGCAGGTCCCCGTGTCGCTCGCTGCGGGAAAACCGGAGTAGCTAGGCAGCTGAAACTGGAAATAGTTGTCCATGTGCTCGTACTCCTTCAGGGAATTGTAAAGCGAGCTGGGCCCCAAGCACGGGAAGCCGTCGAAGAACTCCAGGTCTGACTCTGAGGAGAGACTCAGGTCCATGTCGTAGCTCGCCGAGCGATCGATGCTGGGAGAAGGCGTGTGCGGCACGCTGCAGCTATGGAAAATGCCGTTTCCCTGGTTGGCGTTTTCGTCCAAGAGTTCTGAAATGGCCGTCACTCGATTGTCCCTGTGACTGTCTGTGGATTCCAGCAGCGCAGCGTCTATGTTGTCATTTTCATCAGCAAAGTCCACGATGCTAAAGCTGCTGAACGCCTCTGTTGTTGGCTGTTGCTTCTGCTGATTTGGGCAACACGCGTTTTTACTGTCCTTATCCTCGCTATCCCCGCTATTCGTATCGTTGAAACTCAATATCCGGCTCAGGCCTTTCTCGTCCACCTCCAGCTGGCTGTGATGCTTGCACTGGCTCTCGCCTGCCTCAGAGTCCTCACTCTGACCAGATGAGTCCGATGAGTCCGTCATGTCACTGCTGCAGCTGTTCTCTCCGCCTGCCATCAGCTCCGAGCTGAAAGGGAAGGAGGGCACCGCTGGTAGTTGGGCGTTTGCGTCCGTAGTGTTTTCCTCCTCCTCCTCCTCTGCGCTGGACTGCTCCTCCAGCCTCTTCTCCAGCTCCAGCTTCATTATAGTGTGGATGTAATGCGTCTGTACGCGGTTAGAGTTGAACTCAATTCGGCCCTCTGTGTTGCCGCAGCCGTCTTTGGTGCAGCCACATGGGAAAGAAGAGTGATCCATCTACAAGGAGCAGAAAGAATCTGTGAAATATTTGCAACAAAAACTTTCATTTGAATTCCCTTTGGTCGCAGTCACTGACCAAAGAGGAACATTTTAGGTGACTTTATTTTGTTTTTTTGTTCCTGTTCTTACCTGACATTTGATGCCCGCCAGGCTGCAGCTGCACGTTTCAGGCTCGCAGAAGCCCTGGCAGTCGCAACCGCAGTTCTCCCTGGAGAGCCTCAGCTCGTGCAGCTGTCTCTTCTCCTCCTTGTCGATCTTCTTCACACCAGCTGCTTTGAGCAGTGCATAGCGCTTCTTAGATGGGAATGGCTGGAGGAAAGAGCCCTCGTCCAGGTTGGCACTGCTGATGTCTATGTCTTGCTCTGGGACGTCATCTACCGTAAGCCGATCTGCCTCCTCGTTTTCCTGGGTTCCGTTTTTTGTCAGCTGTAGCAGACAAAAAGGAATCATGTGTATTTGCTGCCACAGACAGGAGACTGAGCACCCAGTTAATAGGCTTTTAGCTAGAGGCATTCCTCACCTTCATTTTCATAGCTTCCAGCTTCTCTTCCCTAAGCCTATTGAGGAACTTTTCCCTGCGCAGGAGCCGTTGTTCCGCAGCAAATTCTGCAAGAGTGTATGAACGCCGCGCGCTGTGGCGCTGCATCATGCCAAGGGTGCAACCTCCTCGACTGGGAACGCTGGTGAAGCCCTGGCACCGTGGGAAGAAGAACACAGTCACCTGGTCGAATGTGACGTTGCCCCGGCGTGCTCTTTTGGACTTCTTCAGAATGGATGTTGCTATGGAAGGACAAACAGAAGAAGATTAGAACACATGAAGGGTGATCCTGCATCATTTTTTCCACCACTAGATGGCGTACTGCTCCACATCTTTGTGCTGATGCTGCCTGACGAATTGAAAAAGGACACCTCTGCGATTTATTGACCTGGCCTTATCATGTACCCAATTAAATGATACGGCCAAGAGCAATCCGACATGCGTACATCCTGTAAAGTGAAACCCAAACTGCTGGGAATCCATCCAGCTTTTCACTAGCGTGCGACCAAAGGACGCCCAGCTCAGGAATTTCCCTTTTTGTTAGTGGTGAACGTGGTGGAGGAAGCACCAGGGATCAGTACATGATCAGTAAAATCCCTGGGGCTTCCAGGTGGGATGGAAACCTTCGCACCTGAATCGTGAGCCACACATTTAAAGGTCATTAATGAGCTACATCTAGAAATAAACCACACTGGGGGAGGTGAGGAGGGGTGAGTGCAGAGCTGAACTTTAGTGTAAATTCTTCTTACTCCATCAAGGAATTTTCAGCTTTTAAGTTTCCTTTAAAGACAAGCAACCTTTCCCACCGCTTAAGCTCCAGCAGCCATTTTTAATAAGAGTAGCCTATGTGTTTAAAGAAAAGTCTGGTAATCCCCTGCCCATCTGGTCCCCATTACCTTTGTTTTATGGAAGGGAACTCCATACAGAGTCCCTGTACAAAAACAAAGAAATGCACAAAAAGCCAGTAGCTTTTCTGTGACTTTTCTATGACAGTTAAAGTGAAAAGTTTGGATGTTTTTTTTTAAGTGATGTTCTTAAAAGATATTAATCCATTGTAGTTCCCCTTGTATCTAGTAGAAAGCTGCTGTACCAAAGTGAGTTTGTAGAAAACCTTTGTAGAAGGTAATGCCAACAGCTAGTTGGGTTGGTTAGGTTGCACAGTTGTGGATTACCGATGGAAAGTTTTGCACTTTATGACTTCATGTTAGCCTTTTTACCACCAGGGGATTTTGGCCCCTCTGTAGACATTAATTCTGTCTACATTGGATAACGGACATATTACTGACGACTTCAAAGCATGTTAAGTTATCCCAATAATGTGGAAAGTTTATGTAAAAAGTGTCCTTTTGCCTCAGCATGGACAACCAATAAACACAACAGCCTCACTGATTTGTCTGATCTGCTGCCAGGGGTAATACAGATCAACCCGAGTGCCAGGTTCAGCTGCGTATCCATCCAAACCACAAGAGACAAACAGCACCCACTCTGTAGCTTCCAGATGAACTAACTTTGCACAGTGTTCTCTAGCAAACAACTTTCTGTCCAACACAAACACCAAATCATAATAGTCCACTCAATCAGATCTTCTAAGTAGGCTTGCATGTCTGCTTCCTCCACCGCCCCCACACCTTTTTTTCTATCCCTTCACCCAGTTTCTTCCAGCACCTGTGTTGGGTGCACGCCCAGGTTTCAGACAAGGCGCTGTGTGTTCCCAGCCTTGGCAACCTGCCACACTTCTCTTCCTGGCTTCCTGCCCCACCATCCTGGAAACCTTGCAACCTTCTCCCCAATACACAACACAATCCCCTCTCCAAACTCGCCACCAGTCCCCCCTAAAGACTCAGCCGCATCCAGACAGACGTAAACACCCTGAAGTTGCTCGACCTAAATCTCTGAAAGGAAGAGTGAAGCAATGGGCCTATCTTACAAGGTTCTGGGGAGGAAGGTGGAAATAAAACCGAGGTGAGCCGCCCCCGTGCTTAATGTGATTAACTGTTTTGCAGCTTTAGGGCATAAAAATCATCAGAGGTGTTCATTGTGAAAGTCTGGACCCATTTCTGCAAAGTGTTTCATCGGATGCCAGTGGCATGAATCGCTAAAGCAGTCTTGTATAATGTTTGGGTTGCAATCAGAGTTTAAGTGGATGCTGAAGACAAGCTGAGAGAGTGCTTGAGAGGAAACACTCACTGTTGAAATTTGTTGCTGGGGAGCACGGGTTGCTGGGATTGGAATCCAGGGTGTCCGAGTAACAGCTCTCCCCCTCCGAGTCCCAGCCCGAGCAGGCGGAAGAGAGGGAAGAGGGCGAGGGAGACGAGTAGCATGGGTCCTCGTCCACCTCCTCAAACTTTCTCTTCAGAAGCCCAGTCATGGCGTCTCAGTGTGAAGAATCTGCGGGAATGGGCAGAAAGACAAGGGTTATTAGCACATTATCCACACCACTTAATAGAAAGCAACATGGGTCTCATCTTAAGAACAGGACGTACTGCAAGTATCCGCTCTGCTTTTGTGTGTGCACACAAGACTTTTGCACAGCCAGAGCAGCAAAACTGAGTTCTGTGTACTGCCATCTGAGAGTGTCGAGGGATCCACGTCTCACGCTGCAAATAATGGGAGCTAGCCACGACGCAGGAAGCAATCAATCAGTCCTTATTTGCCTAAGTCAACAATTACTGGACCCTTCGCCCTCTTACAAATCCCATCAGCTCAGCATTGATTATACAGACAGACCACACAAAGGTGACCCAATCATCCAGCCACCAATATTCTCTTCAAACAGGTCAAGGCTAAGAGGAATTTGCCACTCGTCTTGTTGGTCTTCATGTGGAATTTCTACATGCACAATGATGCATGGAGGAATTTTATTTTTTTTTTTATTTATTTTTTTTTCAGATTGTTGGTATGCAACTCGTGGGTTTCTTCACAGCTCCCACGAGAGAGTCTGCTGGCTCAGCGATAAGAACAATAAATCCTTTAAAAATAAAAAGGAAGGAGAAAAAAAAGGGAGAAGAAAGAATGCCATTTATCCACTAATCTTCCATAATATTGCGTCACACTGGTCGAACCTGGTTGATGCGTTTAATTCTGAACTTGAACCGGTTAATAAGTATCTCAGAACTCGAGCAATTGTAGGAAAACATCAAAGCACCTTAAAAACTCGCACTATTTGCTGAGACGGCAGGGTACGACTTGTACATTTTAGATTTATGCGACAAAAAGATGTCCCCGGGGTTCTCTGCCAATTCTGAAAAGGCAGTGGTGGACGCTGTACAGTACAGGTCATCATTTTCACAATCTGGGACTGAGCCTAAACTAGGAGGGGAGGAGAGAGGAAGGAAGAGGGGGGAGTGGGAAGACACCACTGGGCTCTGTTCCAGTGCGGACACTCCCAGCGACTATGTGGGACGGAGAAGGAGATCATTTCATCAAACTGTTTTCCCTACCATCACCCGAAAAAAAAAAAAAAAATTATAGCACTCTGGTTGAGAGTGTGTTAAAGTACCGGGTCTCAGGTACAAGAGTGCCATGTGGAGGACAGTGAAGGGAGTGAAAGAGTAATTGAAAGGTCTCTACTTCTGCATCTGACTCAAACTGATACAAGAACATCATCAGAGACTCCCTCAGACCCTGTCACCTTTTTTTTTTTTTGGTCAGAAGGCAAACAGAAGCAAAACCTCAACAGTACAAGACTGCTAAAACAGCTTTCTGCAGCAAGCTGGTGCAAAGCTGAACACCTGTTAATATTATACCATACTTCATATGACTACTGTCATTTCATGTTGGTTTGACTGTTGCCACACTAATCTGATCAGAAACATTATTTCTTTATGTTTATCAATTGTATCCAATTTTCTGCCCGTGCAATCACTGCAGATCCTCTTCCAGCTGCTCCGACTTAAGCTAAACTTGTGGATGTGCCTCAATTTTTGGGGTTATTTTAAGCTCTGTTTGCTCGAATGTTTTCCCTGTAATACCTATAATTTAGCAAGAAAAACTCAATTAAAAGGTAAGGTCGTGATAATTATAGAGAAGGGATCCTCTGCAGTTGCAAGTGAGCTAAATTTACGTCTTACCGGGCCAATTACTGTAGGCTCGGCGACACAAACGGCAGACCCGTCATGTCAACAAACTACTGTAAGTCGTTGTCGCTCTTTGAAGGTGCCAAAAAAAGAAAAAAAAAGAAAAGGTGAAACAGTCGGTTTACAGGAACTTCCACTCCACGTGCCTGTCCTGTCTTGTATGAACACTGTACGAGAGTCAACGTTCCCAGAACAGAAGGGAGGGAAAAACAACTAAGCAGGTAGAGGAGAAAAGAATCTTTTTTTTTTTCTGCATGCTGCAAAGGATATGCAAAATCGGTGGTGACAAAGATAAAGATGCTAGAGCCAAGGGCAAAAGGCATAGAGTTTTGTTGTTGAAAGAGGGGGATGCCATTATTGTCTTTGCTATGGTTGTCCAAACTACACACATGACGAATTATTCACCTTGTAAAAGGTCATGCCGGCTTGCAACAACTACAAAAAAAAAAAAAAAAAAAAAAAGGCTTCCACCAAACAGTAGCTAGTGAGAACACAAGCCACTAATTTCCCCCTCTGCGAATGTGTTGGAGCACAAAATAATCTCCAAATGCCTCGCATCCAAAACGTAGGGGTGGGGAATGGATTTGCCTTGAAACAATTTCCAAACACCTGGATGCAGCATCTGTTGCTTATGTGTTCACTTTATCAGACAACATGTGTGTTCCAAATGTTGCGCGGCATCAGCTCACCTCACATTTTACCATCAGTTCCACCCCCCAATTTTCAGCAAAAAAAACAAAAAAACAAAAAAAAAAAGGAAAACAAAGCTGTGAGGCATTCTCCAGGGAGCACATAGCGCCAGCTAAGCAAAGTCTTTTTAATTAAAAGCTGCAGTGAGACAGAAGGGGGGGGAGGAGAGGGAAAGAGGTGGGCGGATGAGGAAAAGGGGGGGCAGTGGTGTCAGAACTGGGTCATTGTCTCTTGACTGCAGTCTACCTGACACACTGATTTGTTAATCCTGTTCAACGGGCAGAAACAATGGCGAGAGGTTAATCCCGGCAAGGGACGGCTTGTAGTCAATCTGGAGCTTCTCAGCCGCTGCAGCCACAGAGCGAGGCCAAGGGAGCACGGATGGAGCAGGAGACCAGGGGTAAAAGAAGAGAAAAAAAAAATCTGTCTTGTAATGAATCTTTTGCAAGAGGGTGGAGAGCGAGGAAGGAAAAGAACAAAAGGTACAAAAAAAAAAGAGAGGAATGGAGAAAAGGCAGAGCCTTTGAACGCCTGCCGCTCTAAATGGAGAATGGATATGATCGGACAGCTGAGCCAGAGAGAGGGAGCGCAGCATGTTTTCAGCGAGCACTAAATTATGCATTGCTGTCATTCCATCAAGCCACACGCGGGCAGACAGATAAAGGACGCATCCGCCGAGGTGCTCCCCCAGCCAAGTTGTCGCAGAGTTGGGGAGATAAATCTCCGGCGAGGAGATTTGTCACCAGAAGTACTACACAGCTCAAGTCAGACCAGAACTATGTCAGTGAGATGAGATTATCTCGATACACGCGCAGCTGTGTGCTGTTCGTTTGACTTTAGAATCCCTTCACCTTATCTGGAAACATACGTTATTGTCCCCCTAAAGGACTTGTAAATTATTTCAGTGGATGACATCTGGATGCAAACAAAAGGCTCCAATGATGAGCACAACGCACACCTATGCTTTTCGTTCAAGCAAATTCCGAACAAATGTGAAAGTGGAATTTAAAGAGTTCAATTCTAGTTCAAATTTCAGAAAAGCTACTTCAAAAACAACCAATTTAATCTTGGCATTTGTGGGTAAGAAAACCAGACTCAAATTAGCCGGAACCTCGGTCCAGAGTATACTGAACTTTGTATTCACAGGAGATATTTCAATCCAGATGGATGGATGGATAGAGACACTGAATAAAACCTGGAAATACAAATGCTTTCCACTCCCTTATGCAGACAGAAAACCCCGACTCAAATTCCAGACCTTTCCACCATTTCTACTTGTCACAGGAACTCCAGAACTGGAAGCCTGTTGAATCTTACCCCCCACAGCCCCTACACTTCAGCCCAACAGGAGAAGTCACAGTTGACTTTGCCCCTTGCACCGTCTGTCCAGCCCCCTTTGCAGCTCATAACAACATGGGTGGGAGTGACAAGTTGTGCTAATCTTGGCCCGCTGAGAGCATTTACATGGCACACTGACAGCCTCGCAGCGTCTGAACGACTGACTGAGTGCTCATAAAATGTGATAATGATGAGCGTTCCTTCCTGCGTGTGGGGGGGGAGTTGTGTCTGGGCAGGTCAGCCCCCTCCTCCCACAGGGCTTCAGGGTACAACACCTCTCAGGTAACTGATCAGAGCTGCGGAAATGAAGGTGGCCCCCAGACTCCTGTTCCTGCCCAGCTGGGTAAATTCTGGCTCATTATTTAAAGCCCAAGCTGTCAGTCAGAATTGCTCCACCTGCTGGAGCAAAGCAGGAAAAGCACATCTCCTGTTTTTTTTTTTTTTTTTCCTTTCTCCCTCTTCCTCCTCTTTGAGCCTGTTGTTCTAACTGAGGGCTCGCTGTGTGACTGTGCCACAGAAACATTCTGTTCCTCTGCTTCGCCCCGTGCGCACAGCGATTCCAAAAAGGAGAGGTGGTGGGAAGAAGGGGGAAGGATTGTACAAAACAAATAAATAATGTCATGTCTCCAATCCGCAGGAATTCCACTCTGGCAGCGCAGCTCCAGCTGTAACAGTGGGAGAAGAACACAGGCTCTATCTAACCCAGATGTGCCTTCTGCTGCTAAACGATGGAAAGTCCTGCTCACTGGGAAACATGAGCTTTTTGCTTTTCGAAAGCCACACCTGTCAGGTTGTGTGCTCACACAGACACATGCCCTCGAGTTTGGTGCAAATTTAAAAGGAATGGTCCAGTGATGCACACAAAGTATGAAACCATGACTTAAAATGCACGAGGCACAAGATAAACTTGTGTTAGTAAACATTATGGCTGGCCTTCAACTGTTGGCAGATTATGACATAGATGCTGAGGTAAGTGAGCATTCAATTTAAAATTGATTAAAAAAAATAAAAAAAAAAAAAAAAAAGAGGCAGTGTCCATTAATGAGCACATAAACAAACCAAATGTAAATGTATCCGAATCAGGGCTTCAGATAGTTATAATCGGTAGTCTCTGTGCCGGATATAAACAGACATCCAGTGGCCAGTTTCAGAAGTTTAACTGAAAGAAATCTGTTTTCTGACGTTTTCCATTCGTTTGGTTTCCTGTACGATTCACCTCTTGCAAACTGAATGAATAGTTCCATGGTTTGCTCACACGGAGCAGCTAAAAATGCTTTGCTGCAGTCGTACAAAATAAAAGTAAATCCCTTTGAAGGAGGAATTTGGTTAAAGCATGCAAATAAGGAGGAAGAAGAATGGAGGGGAATGCTCAAACAAAAACGTCATATCTAATGTGATGTTGAGGGATTTTACCAAATAGTCTGACTAGTATAACTTTAAAATCTAGGCAAGGCTGTTAAGGAACACGCAGACTTGAGAACATTTCTATTGCTCTGGGTGTGTGTATGTGTGCAGGGAGGAAGGGATGAGGAGGTTGTGGGTTCAGGGGTCATGCTCCAGTCTGGGACACTTGCCGTACGGAATGCTGGGAGAGGACAAAGCCAGATGGGAGCTCTCTCTGTCTCTCTCTCTCTCCACTGCTGCTGTGTTCAAGACTGTCAGCCGACTCCCCTCGCTCCCACCCCCATCCCGTCCTCTTCCCTCCTTCTCCTCTCTGTGCTCCCAGCACAAAAGCGTGGAGGGGCCCCAGCCTCGCCTGAACTCGGCTTTCTTCTGCCGCTTCTCTCTCCCAGCTGGCATGGAGCGATACCAAAAGTGTGCAAGAGCTTCCTGAGGTTGTGAAACAAATAGAGAGCAGTGCACAGGAAGCGGCCATCCAGATTGTCTGATGCGCCTGGCAGCTGCAGGCACCGCAAGGTTAACTGAACACAAGATAGCAAGATGGACACGAGGCAGTTAGACGGTGGATGATATTTGCCTTGGTAGATTCAGAGATGCCATCAAGGGAATCCAGGGGAAGCAACAGTCACCTCTATAAATGTGTTGACCTCTTTCCACCTCTTCCAATGTACATAATTTTTATGCAAGAAGGAATAAAAAAATAATAATTATTGAGAATTTCAAAAGACCCAGTCTTGATATGTTGCATTATTACAAGAATGGGTGTGAATTCCTAATGGGGCTAAAAAATTGATGATCCAGTGAGACCCAATTATGACTTTCACAACAACGCCAACTGATGCTCTTCAAAATCATAGATCTAGAGTTGTATGTGTTAGATAATTGCTAGAATAGGTTTCAGTTTTTATTGGATCTTTACCTTAAAAAAAAATAACAATGGGGAGAACCACAGCAATTAAAAGCTCATCGACACTAAACTTTGTGAAGCATGTTGTAAAACAACAAGAAATTAGCTTAGAGTATTAATTCCAGCTTCCGCTGTGACATATTAAACAAAAGAAATGCCAGAAGTTCTGTTATGGCTTAGTTCTGATCACCTTTCCAGATTATTAGTGGCCCCCTTCTGGCGACTCTTTGTAAAAAAAAAAAATTATCTGGCTGCACCCCTGGTGAGAGGTCAGCCAGCATTTAGAAATGAGACCCATATGGAATAGAAATTCTTTGAAAAAGTGGGCCCATATGGATCTGAGGTGTCGTGCTGCACGAACTAAGACATATAAGGTGGCCAACTGGTGTTGCCTGCAAGAGTTGTGTTAAATCAACCTGAGTGGGTCACATAGGAGAATCCTGGCACCACTGAGTGCCCATCCAGTTTGAGTTAAAATCCATGTAGTCTACACATACTGGCAAAATGATTTCCCTCAAAAACACAGAGCTTTTGTTTCACCACCACAAGCATGTACCAATCAGTGCTGAACAGCAAGGACTAGAAGCCTTTCCTTTAGACAAAGGATCATTCAGACCAAGTCAAAAAAAAAAAAAAAAAAAAAAAGATTCCAAAAATGATCCGGGTGAGGTCGCACTAGAGACGATTTAAACTATCTCTGATATACATATGGCTCAGATGGCATTCGGGAGAACAATAAACGACATTTTTTTTTTTTTTTTTTTTTTTTAAAGGCAAAAAAAAAACAAACCCACCCAATAAAACCAAACCTTCGAAAAATAACACAAAC